GAGTACCTGGGGTGTCAAAGTGTGCCTGGGAGTGTCTGGGTGTACCTGGGAGTGTCAGAGGTGTACCTGGGAGTGTCAGAGGTGTGCCTGGGAATATCAGAGGTGTGCAGAGTGTCAGAGGTGCACCTAGAGTGTCAGAGGTGAACCTGGGGTGTCAGAGGTACCTGGGGTGTCAGAGGTGTACCTGGTATCGGAGGTGTACCAAGTGTCAGAGGTGTAACCAGAATCAGCCAGGTGTACCTGGGAATGTCAGAGGTGTGAGGTGTCAGTGGATGCCTGGAAGTCTCAAGGTGTACCTGGGAGTATCAGAGGACACCGAATATCGGAAGTGTGCCTGGGAATATCAGAGGTGCCTGGATGTGTCAGAGGTGTGCGGGAGTGTCAGGTGTGCACCTGGGGTGTCAGAGAGAACCTGGGATTATCAGGGTGTACCTGGCAGTGTCAGAGGTGTCCAGGGAATGTCAGTGGGTACTTGGGAGTGTCAGGCCAGCCTGGGAGAGTCAGAGGTGTACAGCAGGTGTCAGAGGTATAGGGAGTGTCAGGTGTACCTGGGGTGTCAGGGTGTACCTGGAACTGTGAAAGTGTGCCTGGGAGTGTCGGAGGTGTACTGGGAGTGTCGAGGTGTGCCTGGCAGTGTCAGCAGTGTGCCTGGGAGTGTCAGAGGTGTGCAGGAATGTTGATGGAGTACTGGAGTGTCAAAGGTGTGCCTGGGTCAGTGTACCTGGGGTGTCAGTGTGCCTGGGAGTGTCAAGGTGTGCCTGGGAGTGTCAGAGGTGTACCTGGGGTGTCAGGGGTGTGCCTGGGGTGTCAGTGCACTTGGGGTGTCAGTGGAGTGTCTGAGGTGTACACAGGGTGTCTGGGGTGTACCTGTGTAAGAGGTGTACCTGGAGGCCAGCGGTGTACCTGGGAGGTCGGAGGTGTACCTGGGAGTGTGGAGAAGTGTACCTGGAGAGTCGGAGGTGTACCTGGGAGTGTCGGAGGTGTAATCTGGGAGTGTCAGAGGTGTACTTGGGAGTGTCAGAGGTGTACCTGGGAGTGTCAGCGGTGTACCTGAGAGTGTCTGAGGTGTACCTGGGAGTGTCAGAGGTGTGCCTAGGAGTGTCAGAGGTGCACTTGGGAGTGTCACCTTGGAGTGTCTGAGGTGTACCTGGGAGTGTCTGAGGTGTACCTGGCAGTGTCTGAGGTGTACCTGGCAGTGTCTGAGGTGTAACTGGCAGTGTCAGCGGTGTACCTGGGAGTGTCAGCGGTGGACCTGGGAGTGTTAGATGTGTATCAGGGAGTGACAGAGGAGTACCTAAGAGTGTCAGAGGTGTACCTGGGAGTGTCAGAGGTGTACCTGGGAGTGTCAGGGTGTACCTGGGAGTGTCAGAGGTGTACCTGGGAGTGTCAGAGATGTACCTGGGAGTGTCAGAGGTGTATCTGGGAGTGTTGAACGTGTACCTAGGAGTGTCAGAGGTGTACCAGGGAATGTCAGAGGTGTACCTGGTAGTGTCAGAGGTGTACCTGTGAGTGTCAGAGGTGTACCTGGGAGTGTCAGAAGTGTACCTGGGAGTGTCAGAGGTGTACATGGCAGTGTCGGAGGTGTACCTGGGAGTGTCTGGGGTGTACCTGAGAGTATCGGAGGTGTACCTGGGAGTGTCTGAGGTGTACCTGGGAGTGTGAGAGGTGTACCTGGGAGTGTCGGAGGTGTACATGGTGTAGGTTATGTATCTAAGCTACTGTGCCGAGTAGCAACCCTGTACATAAGCTACTGTGCCGAGTAGCATTTACATATATTATCACGTGGCAACACTGCACGTGTTATGTGGCAACATTGCCCCGAGGCTGCCATATGGCAAGGCGCCTCAGTCTGACTGTGTGAGCCGCGCATGGCACACAGCGTCACCACTTGTATTTCTCTCATCCACAATAAACGGACTCAGTGTTACACAGTGTTTCCCTAGCCATCACTGCATTCTTCAGGGCACACTAGTAACTTTCATGGCGCAGTGTCTAGGATCTGTGGACTTACAAAGTGCGTGAACAATGCCGACAGTTACGTCTGCCGGTGATGCGCGTCGACTCAGTGTGTTGTGTTGTGTTGCGCTGTGTTTCGCCGCGATGTGCAGTGTTGCTCCGTCACAGTGCGTTTTAGTGACGGTGCCAGTGTTAGTGTCAGTGTATTAGTGTGTGTCTAGAGCTGAGTTGAGCATTGGCCTGTCTTTTTTTTGTGGTACCCACGGAGCACGCAGGCGTACACCCTTCTCGTGCGACATCCGGGGGACACTGACGGTCTTGCCGGACCACGCAGCTGTCCACGCTCCCTCCGCTCTCTCAGACACACACACACGCACGCACGCACTCACTCACTCACTCACGGACAGAACAGTGGACCTGGACCATAAGCGTGATTTTTGTGCTGTTTATGTCTTATATATGTGGTTCGAGCTGTTGAGGCGCCACTTTATATATTAAACAGTGCAGTCCACGCACACACAAAGATGGGAGGTAAGAAGGGACAACGTCAAGATGGGAGACACGACTCCCCCTCCACAGGCAGACTCTCATCCTCCTCCAGTGACGGACATCCTACAGTGGATGGACGACAGGACACAATAGAAATGGTTTCAGAGGAGGAGGGTTTTTATGGCGACTGTTCCTTCCTCCCTCCTCGCAGGTGGCGCATCAAGGCGCCATTCCCTCCTCCTCCACCACACCAGCTCCTCCAGGTACTCTTGCTACCCCAACAGCTCCCAGGCATCCAACTCCCACCGCCCTCTCACCCAGACGTCACGTTTCAGCTTTTTCGTGAGTGGGCGTTGGACAGATCTCAACGATCGTGGACCTTGAAGCATGCCTCCAAACAAACCAGCCAACTGTGGATGTGTTTAGTCGCTGGAGACCGAGAATTTTGGAGCACACGTTGCGAGTGCCTCGATTCTACCTCTTCAGTGACGGATGTGCTCGACCTTTTACAGGAGCACGTTAGGTCAGAACAACAGGCTTTGCGTCGCCGTGCCTTTACCAGCTGCAAGCAGGCGGAGAACGAATCCTTTGACGGACTTTTTGTACGTTTGAAGAGTTTGTCAGAGAGATCGACGTCTGCAAGGCGCACAGCCAGAATGTGAGGAAGCCTGGATCAAGCACGGGATCTTGACAGGTGTCAGGCACGAAAGTTGATCTGGCGACTCATCCCTGGCCTTCCTCCACACTCCAGGTGGTAGTGACTGAATATCGGTCGCCTGAGGCCGCAAGTCACCACCTCTGCCTTACAGGCCCCACCTGCTGTGAGAGCTATCTCACAATACAAGAAGGATAAAGGCGGCCAACAACAGGCTGCCACACGTTCTTCCACGCCTCCACCTAGTGCTTCCTGTGGCAGCTGTGAAGCAGCACAGCTAACCTTGCCCGGCCGCCGACGCACTGTGTCGTGGATGTGACCGTAAGGCCACTGGTCCCCTGAACCAGGTGCCCTGCAGGCCTGAAGTATCCGGGCCTGCGGTAACCTATGGACACCCTCGACAAGTGCTGCCAACCCAAGCCCAAAGCCGAGGCCGAGGAGGGACAGCCCAGCACTTCCTCGGGGTGGATTTCCTTAGCCCCTCCAGATGGCCCACACACCCAAGCAGCAGATGAGTCACATCAGAGGTGGAATCAACCACACGCCCCAGGGCTACCCTTCCCCTACTATCCGCGTCCCGTCACACACGGTGATGTGTCCGGTCCTATCCAGGTGATACCGGACACCGGCGCCGATACTACAGTGATTGGGTTGAAGCTTACCTCCGAAACTGGGCCTCATAAACGCAGCCTGGGACCACCGCCGCACGCTGCAGTGCTACAATGCGGACGGTTCCCAGATGCCGCTGTGGGCTCCCCTTTCAAGCAGAGATCACCTGGCGACAGGTGTGTCACTGATGAATCGACGTGCAGCCTACTCTCCTACACCCTTGTTGTCATGGGAACTGCAGGAGTTAGGCGTGGTGCCCAGAGACTTTCGAGCAGATCCCAGCTACTCGTTCACCTCAACAGGGTGCGTGATCAACGAGCAGCAGCCTGCGCTGCCACTGAAGCTGCCCAGAACCTCCGTCCACCCCGCCCACAAGTGCGGCTGCTTCCTCTTCTCAGACATCTCCTTCAACCCAGAGCCTACCTACTTCTGAAGAGTACTCTCGGATGTGCTGGTAACGAAGGCCTACAGACCACACCACTGAAGGCTATGGCAGGTCGCCTATGAGACACCCTGCAGGAAGATGCACTGCCGTTGCCATACACTCGGTTGATTCCTCATAGCAGAGTTCAGTCAGAAGAACTGGGATTCCATGGTGTGGTGTCATCATGTCGAGTGTGGATCCAAGGTACAGCGCCTCGACGATGGACTCTCTGTGGTTACTGGCAGATCCTGAAAAGGAGGATCGGCCACTGACATAGCATTTTTTCGATCGCATG